TCCTAATTATGTTGTTTTTAACTAAAAGAGTTGTTCTGAGAAGTTGGCTATGTTTTCTTTTTAGGGTGACCTCTCTATGGGAGAGGCTTTTTGAATTGACAGCTTATTTATTTTTTGTGAATGAAAATTGTGGTTTTACTGTCTCAATTTAGAGTTTCTTATTTCATCTCAGTTTATAGTTTCTTAATATTTGGTTGGAATGTGTTGTTTTATTAATGTTCTTATTGCCACATCAATTAAACTGAACAGAAACAATATTCACGTATGAGAATGTGGCAGTGGGAATCACTCAATTTTGGACTGCAGTTGGAAGTAATGCTAAAATTTCAAATAATATTGAATTGGTTTTTAATTGTTTTTCGTGGATGATACAAGATAGCTTGGTAGCACCTCACTATCCGTTACACATTTTTTATTACATCAATATAAGGTCGTTTTGATACATAATTGTCAACTTAAGAACCCTTAAAAGTACATAATTAAAACCACAAAATCAAGCTTCAAGATAGGCTACGCTACAACAAGAAAAAACTTCGACGATTTCATTATTTCACAAACACGACACACATGTAAAAACACGACATACATTATTTCATTATTTCACATGTAAAAAGATGAACATTAAGGTTTTGCGTCATATTAATCATATGCATACAAACATCTCTCAAATACTACAATCATTGTTTTCTAATCAAGCTGGCCGCTTCCCCTTTTCATTCAATTCCTGGCTTATTTTTGTCGCCCGAATGGTCACGTTCATTGAAATCTAGAGCTGTTGTTCATCACTTATTTGAAATTGAGATTCAAACATGCAAGACATCTCGTCAATTGTTTCGTGCGTCGCAGGGTTAACCAAGGTAGTGCCATTGCGACTGGAGTGACCGCTTGATTCGTCTTTCACGACCCATTCCCAAAATCCACAATTCTTACTGCACCAGAGGAATAATTTTCCTTTATTCTTATTATCCTTCTCCACCACAAAATATTTCTCGAATCCATGCTTACATCGTGTACAAGGGCGTTTCTTTTTGCAATCGTCAAAGAAATGGTCTTTAGCTCTACAACTATGACAAATTCCAGAGTTCCTCCCAGGCATTCTACTATGGGAATAAACCACCATCGACAAATGTGAACTCAGTTATGTATAGAAACAAACAAATCAGAATTAGTTGGAATAACGAACCTGAATATGCTAATGAAAATAAATTTAAAATGAAACATCAAGTCTTAACAACGAGATCGACTTCATGGCTACCTCGTCAATTTAATAAATTGATTGCTAGATCCATTTAAATAAAAACTATCACACGGAAACCTCAAACAGCTACAAACCCCAGCATTTTCGAAGGGAAATTCATATTATTTCCTCTAACCAGACTTTTTCACGAATAACTATCAACTGAAACTGAAAGATGGGCATTTGAAGAGGCTATTCCTGTCAAACTCTGGAAAGTGCAAAATTGGTACAATTTAGAAAATTTTGAACGCATACGAAAATGCATATGACCCCATTAATGAAATCAATTCTACGACGGGAATAAACCACACCGACGAATGTGAACTCAGTTATGTATAGCCTCAATGAAACATGGAAGTCACAATAGATGAAATATAAAAACATCTACCTACAGACGGAAATGCCGACGGGTCTCCAGAGGGAAAATAATGCCGGCAACGGGTGTGACTTTCGATCTCCAACGACCGGACAACGGTGAGTTGTGTGGCGACCAAGGTTGAAGTTCGAGCTTCTCTGCTCTTTCATGAAATTGGGACTCCGACGACTGGAGACGGTGGGAGTTCAAGTTATGATTCTCTGCTCCGACGTAAATTTCACGATTGAAAGGTGAAGAAATCAGAATGGGAAATTTTCAACCTTTTCGTTAAAGCTTCAGAGAAGGAACTGACCACAAGCTTCCATTATTGTTTGAAATTGGCACGCGTTTTATATAATGTGATTTTTACCGCAAGCGCACGGTGTCAAGTTTTGTAGTATATTAAAGAATTAAAAAGTGTCGAACCCACAGGGATTGATATTCGACTTCCACTGAGTACTATAATTGTGTCCGCGTTTACTTTATCTAGACAATCGAGTGTTAAATTAATATTTGAATACTAAATTAACGTCAATGAATTAAATAGTGCAATAAAAGTGAGGCAATTTCTAAAGATTAACTCAATTTTACGTAATGTCTAGGGAGTGATTTCACCATATTCTCGACATAATCCTCAATCCCTATAGATATTTCTATCAAATATTTCCCAAATTCATAGGCAAGAATCCTAAATTAATTCTATTTCCCCCTCTCGAGCGTCAAATAGAACATATCTCTATATTTTAACCCCAATATCTCTATTCCGAATTAAATATATAAAGATTATCATGTACTTGGTTCTTATTTTACCTTCAAAGATTCGTACTTTCTCTCGAAACCTACAAACCTAGGTTATATTGTTCTTAGATCACGCCTAAATTTCCCTCTCTCGAGCGTCAAATTTAGAACATCAATTCATTCAATTGGTGATCAGGCAAAAGAAAGCATTAAGCAAGAATGATATAAATTCAATTCTGGAAAATTAAATAGAAATACTATAAAGAAATTGAATCATGTCTCAAATAGGTTACATCAAACCCTAGATTTAATAACTTAGTTCATGATTGAAAAGAAGAACATGATAAAACACAAATTAAATTTCATGAAGAAGAGAAAGATAAGAAAAAACTCAGGTTGTTGCTCTATTTCTCAATCTTGTGGCTTGGTTCTTAGTTTTTCTTCTTCTTCTTCTTCTCCAAAATCGGTTCGATCTTCTCTCAATTAGTGTATATCCTTGCCTCCTTTCTTCAACCGTCCAACCCCTTCTCTTGTTCTTCAGCTGGGTATTTATATTTTCTAAGGGTCCTCAAGGGTTAGGTTGTGATTTTTGGGCCGAAAAAATACTTAAAAACTCGGATTTTAATGTTTTGGAAACGGGCGCCATGGCGCCTAGGTCTGACACCGTGGCGCCCAAGTCTCTGCCCCGTTTTTTCCTTCATGGGCGCCATGGCGCCCAGGTTTCTGCTGGAATTGTCTCCCTTTGGGGCGCCATGGCGCCCCTTTTTCGGCGCCGTGGCGCCAATGCCACTGCTTTAATCCTCTTCTCTTTGTTCTTCCAAGCTTATTTCCCACTCCAATCTTATTCAATACTTGCTTATTCATGCTCCATTTCATTGATCATCATTTTTGCTCATCACCGGCTCCCAATAGTGGTATTTTCTTAAGAATTATCCAAACTGCAAAACAACACTAACACACATCAAAACGTTCAAAAATGCTCAAAAACACATCAAAAAACTTGATTTAGAAGCTTTAGTTTAATGAGTGAATTACACTCATCAGAAATAACGTGTTAATGTTGGAGAGAGAAAGCAACCGACAACCTTCCATTATTGTACCGTATTGTGTTGAAAAGAACAATAAAAAAATATAATATAAAACTAGTTAGCATGCCACATGTAAATTTTCAAATTTCTGTATTCCACCCTTTTTGCAACCCTGTCACAGTAGCTTAATTGTGTATAAAATTGCATTACCTTCACATAACACTGAATGTGAGATTTTATAATAGAAGAGATGAAGTGGTTATTGTTAGGTGAAAAGACGTGATCTTGTGTTAACGATCAAGGCATCTTCTCCTAAGTATCACTTTTGCAATCTTAAGTTCAGGAACATTTAATAATTTTGTGAAGTAGACACCTATTAGCTAGGCCTGACATGAAAAGTAGGCTGACAAATTGTCTAAGAGACCTTTGTTATAGAAATGTCAAATCAATCAATTATTCAAAAGATCTTATATGAAAGATCTATTGGAAGAGGTGGCCTCGATTGCGTCGATAGGATAGTGGCATGGGGGTGTGGGCCTATGTTGGTTTATTTAGCTGTTTGCCACGTGATTTGTGTTTTGAAACCTTTTCGAATGAGATGTAACAAAATTTGTTTGAATACAGAATATTGTGTGTAACCGCTAAAAATAAAGAAAAACAGTTAACCTTCCAATATAAATCCAAATATGTATTGAAGTCATCGGATTTTATGGGATTGATGACATGACATATTTTTCAAAATGTTAAATTCTATCTATTGTATTCTTGTAAAATATAACATTTTGGACAACTTAGAAAAATACCCTTAAACTTAGGGTTCTTTTGAAAAATCATATGAAAAATTTTTTAAAGTAAAAAATATTGTGTAAAATTAAAAAGTGTAAAAGGTGACATTATGTCACTTTTTTTTAAAAAAAAAATTGTGTCATTTTTTTAAAAAAAGTGACACAATGCCATTTTTAAAATCTCAGTATCATTTTTTTATTACATACAATATCATTTTTTATTAAAAAGTGATAGAAATTTTAAAAAGACAATGGGAAAAAAGTGACATACACTAAAAAAAAGTGACAATTACTAAACAGTGTGACAAATTCAAAAAAGTAACATAAATTAAAAAAAAAGTTACACGATTCAAAAAAGTGACAAAATAAAAAAAATGATAAATACTGAAAAAGTGAAAAAATTCAAAAGAAAAAGTGACACAAACTTAAAAAATGTGACAAATACTTAAAAAGTGACGAAATTCAAAAAAAAGTGACAAGCACTGAATGATTAGTATCTACTTTTAGTGTATGTCACTTTTTTCCAATCTTCTTTTTAAAATTTCTATCACTTTTTAATAAAAGTGATATTGTGTGTAATTTTTTAATAAAAAAAGTGATACTAAGCTTTTAAAAGCGGCATTGTATCACTTTTTTTAAAAATTGTTAAAAAAAGTGACACAATTTTTATAAATTTTAATTTTACATAATATTTTTTACTTTCAAAAAACTTTTCAAATGATTTTTCAAAAGAATCCTAATTTTAAAGGTATTTTTGTAAGTTTCCCACAGGAAAATGCCGCGTTTCGAACTAGCCCATGAACGTGAAATTTGGGTCAGCCCAATTTCTGTATCCAAGTTAGCCCAACGATTAGAGGCCCAAAGTAGGGCCTCCAAACCCATCACACCCCCAAAACCCTAGCCGTTCATTTATCAACGTGCTCTTTTATAAATCCCTCAATTTTTAGGATTCTCAATCAGGCCTATTGTTGTACGGCTCTGAGGTAATTCGACTTTCTCGCGAATTCAGTCTTGGTTTAGAAAATTAAATGATTTTATGTATTCTTTTATTTTGATGTGGTTTAGTTACAAAATCTGTATCTGGATTATGATTATTGCATTCTTAATTGACACTGCTGGTACTATATTTTTATCAAAGCATTTTTGAAGTTAAATATGAATTTGAGTAATTTTCTTTTGCTTGCTGAGGGATTTATGATGTATATGTAGTTTTGAATGATTTTGTGAAATGTTATGGCTCTGGTGGACGTGTTCTGATTGTTCCATTTCCTATTGATGATTGAAATGCACTCCGTAAAGTAAAAGGACTGAGTAATCGAGGCTGGAGTCTCGGAAGGGCTCTCTTTTGCCAACATCCTTCCGGATGTTTGTGAAGAAATACCATTGAGCCCGAGAATTGGCATAATAAATTAATGCCATAGGCCTTCGGTTTGTGAGCAGCATTTCTATTACTCTGATAGGATCTGGTGGTAATCCAACATGTTCATATTGCTCTAATGTTTTCCTATTACTCTGATAGGATCTGGTAGTCATGGCGATAGCTGGATTCCTTGTTTATATTGCTTTAATGTTTTCCATTGCTGCACCAGCTTTTGAGTCTCAAACAATTCAGAAAATTAGATCTGAAATATGTGTTTTTTGTTTTCTTGAACATGCAAATATCAACCAGTGTTTCATTTATATTATAATCACTTTTTTATTTTAAAATAAAATGTACTGTCAGTGAAAAGCTTTAGTATTTATGTTGGTACATAAGTAAATTTTTTGTAAGATTTCTTGTTTTTACCTATACTTTTACTCTATGGTATGTCATAATCAAGAGTTAAATTAAAGTTCACGAGTTTTTCAGAGTAATTACAACCAGGGAACAATGTCTCACCGCAAGTTTGAGCACCCAAGACATGGTTCTTTGGGATTTCTCCCAAGAAAAAGGGCATCTCGTCAAAGAGGGAAAGGTATTGAGCTATGTCCCATCTTTTTATATGTTCTTTTGCTTATGCTGTAATTTCTGCTTATTTTTGTATATTATCTAGTAGTTAATCTGACTTTCTCTACTTGTATCTATAATTGCTATCATCGGGTTTAGGTGTCCTTCAGTGCGTGCTTTTATTCTTTCTTCGAATACGGTTTTTTTAATAGCAACTTTCACGCTCTGGTGGTTATAAGTGTTGTTGTCTTCTATGAAGATTTGTTTCTAGAGGTTGGAAAATTGTCAAGAAGTTCATGTACCTATTGACTATTGCTGACTGTGACCTTTAATACATACTTTTATTCTTTCTTTGAATATGGTTTCGATAGCAACTTTTCTTACCCTTCTCTGAAGTTTTTAAATATTGTTGTCTTTTATGAATATCTATTTCGAGGTTGGAAACTGTTGAGAAGTTCATGTACCCATTTACCATTGCTGACCATGAGATACAGATCTAAATAAAACTTCGTAAGAGCTGACAGGTCATTATGTGACAAAGATTTGAAGTTTGTAGGCATTGATGATATTGTACTTCACAAGCTTTTGGTTTGATAGTTTATGATTTTCTTCTGCAGTCTGTCATAGTTTTATTACTTCGGTGATTAAAATTATATGGATATATTTGTCTCTACCGGTATAATGTCTTACAAGAGTTTTGTGACAGTAAGAGTTGTTTGTTTACTTGCATTTATTTAAGGAAGTCTTCCACCAGTAGGATGATTTACTAGATGCTCAAATGATCTGAATTAACTGGGAAGGCCAGAATCAAATGGATGGTTTTTTTTTTTAGTTGATTTATTCTTGAGTTGTTGATTGATGCCTTCATCTTTTATTTAACATTGTCAACTTGCTTATCTTACAAACACTTGGCAGCATTTATATACACGAAAGGGTGCTAGCATGTTCGTTATTGATTTATATATCTGCATTTGTATTTCTGCAGTGAAGGCCTTTCCCAAAGATGATCCAACAAAAAAATGCGGGTTGACTGCTTTCCTTGGATACAAAGCTGGGATGACTCACATTGTAAGAGAAGTTGAAAAACCTGGGTCAAGTAAGTTCTCTCTCTCCTCGACCCTAAGATTGCAGCAGAAGTAAAAATATGATGTTATAATTGCACTCACTTCCTTTAACATAGAAGTAAATGATGGTTGTAATTGTTTGGATAGCTTACGTTTGGTAATAACCTTTCCTAAAGTCTTTCACAATATTATGGGGTTCTTTTATGAGTTTGTATACATGGAATAATATTTTTTTCCGTATGCCTCTTGACCATGCTTCCCACTATTAGTGCGTATGTTACTAAATTTTTTTCCATTTCTGTAACTTATCCAATTTTTTCACCTTTGTTCTCATGAGATATTTTTTATCATGACTGTTATTTATCCAGAGCTCCACAAGAAGGAGACATGCGAAGCTGTAACTGTTATAGAAACACCACCTATGGTTGTTGTTGGAGTTGTTGGGTATGTCAAAACACCACGCGGTCTCCGTTGTCTGAATACTGTTTGGGCTCAACATCTGAGTGAGGAGGTCAAAAGGAGATTCTACAAAAACTGGTGCAAGTCTAAAAAGAAGGCTTTTATGAAGTACTCCAAGAAGTTTGATACTGAAGAAGGGAAGAAGGATATTGCTGCCCAGTTGGAGAAATTGAAGAAGTACTGCTCTGTCGTTAGGGTTTTGGCTCATACACAGGTACCCACTCAGCACTTGTTTTGGAACATATTCCCTTCAGCAATCAGTGGTTGTGCTTTCATGGAACCACTGCTGATAGAATTTTGCATTATCTTGTCACATTTTGATTTAGTTACTCTAGCGGTGTCTTGTCTGGCGCAATCTGACTAATACAATCTGTACTAGAATTGGACCTTCTAATCTACAATAATCTGTTGATGTTTTTGGGTTTACAGATTCGTAAGATGAAAGGACTTAAGCAAAAGAAAGCCCACCTCATGGAGATTCAAGTGAATGGAGGAGATGTTGCGAAGAAGGTGGATTATGCATATAGCCTTTTTGAAAAGCAGATTCCTGTTGATGCTGTTTTCCAGAAAGATGAGATGATTGACATTATTGGGGTGACCAAGGGTAAGGGATATGAAGGTGTGGTGTCCCGTTGGGGAGTTACCCGCCTGCCTCGTAAAACCCACCGAGGTCTTCGTAAGGTTGCCTGTATTGGTGCCTGGCATCCAGCTAGGGTTTCATTCACTGTTGCCAGGGCTGGGCAAAATGGTTACCATCACAGGACAGAGATGAACAAGAAGATTTACAAGCTGGGGAAGACTGCTCAGGAGTCTCATTCTGCCATGACGGAGTTTGACAGGTTACTATTCTTGTGACATTTTCTCATAGATAAGACATTACTCGGTCGTGCTAAATACATGAACAGTTGAAACTGGATAAAGTTCTTTCCAATCATTCATTAAATCTGGGCCTGAAGCCTCGTAATTTTGTTCACGAGATTTCCATCAGATATTTCACTTATTTGAATTTTCTTTCGTCCATGCTGTTGCGCATAGAATATGATTATTATTTTATTTCTTGAATGGCTTCTTTCTGAATTGGATCTCAGTATAATCATATTTGTTCCATTATGTTTATTAATTTCCAACTTTGTCATTTCTGAAACTCCTTTTTGTTAACTAGGACCGAGAAAGATATCACTCCAATGGGGGGTTTTCCTCATTATGGCATTGTGAAAGACGATTATCTGATGATTAAGGGCTGCTGTGTGGGACCGAAGAAGCGGGTTGTCACTTTGAGGCAGTCATTGCTAAACCAAACATCAAGGCTGGCATTGGAGGATATCAAACTCAAGTTCATAGATACATCCTCTAAATTTGGCCATGGTCGCTTCCAGACAACAGAAGAGAAGGCCAAGTTCTTCGGTCGACTTAAAGCTTAATAAAATAAGCATATTGGAACCAACTTTGAGCTTTCAAGATTTGAAATTATAGATCCTTTTCTGTTTTTTCTCTTGATTATCATCAAGTTTTTATCTTTGCTTAAGAGGGTTTCAAATTGTTGTTATGCTTTGTTTTGAACATCTAGTTTTGATAACGGTGATGAATTTTGCCGTTGATTTTCCTATATTAATTCTGCCTACTTTTCCAGAACATGCTTTGTGTTGTTTTTGGTAATGATTTGCCAGTGTTATCAACAGCGTAGAACGATTTGGATGGATTATGATAACGTTGTTTCTTGCTTTTTAAAGTTCTGGAAATCATGTTTCAGAAAGTTATGTCAATCATCCATTTGGCTTTTATCATCGTCTAGTTGTGATAGGTGTATATGTCAATGTGTTTGCAATTAGGGTTGGACAAAAATCCCGAACCGACCGAACTCGAACCCGAACCGAACAGAACCGAACTCGACGGTTCTTCTCAAGTTAAATACCCGAACGGGTATTTGAATCAAGAATCGACGGGTATGGTTCGATTCTCGGTTCTAGGCCAAGACCCGAAGAATCGAATAAGAATCGAATCTCTGTAATTTTTTTAATTAATTTATTTTAAATAAGTAAAATTATTTTATTTTTTCTAAATAAATTTGTTAACTAGTTAATTTAGTTCAAATCACAAAATATGATTTTCCTATTTCTAATATTTAGTTCAAAATCGACTTAATCAAATTTACCTCAATTTTTTATTCAAATTTGTTCTTCTACTGTAGTGTTATTTCTACCGGAGAAAAGCGAATTAAAACTCTACAACATCCCTCTTAATTATTTTGAGCTCGCTATCTTTCTCTTTCTGTGATTTTAATAATCAAATTTATAAAGAATTCAGCAAAGAGAGACGTGAAACACATAAGATTGAATTACGTTATTTTGTAAGAGCTCATGTTAAATATATCATTAATTAAATTAATGTAACTTTGTATATATTAAAAAATTTAATTATAATACGGAACCGAATGGAACCGAACCGAACCCGAACAGTTCCGTAATTAAATTTGGACCCGACGGTTCCACTTACTAAATATCTAAAAATTTCGATTTGATTCTCGTTAGAACCGAACCGAACCGAGCCGAACCGAACCGGATCATGTCCAGCTCTATCTGCAATTCTGATTCACTTAGCCTATAGAACAACGAAACCGTCAAACTGCAAAATCTAACAGAAATCATTTTTCTGAAATCGTTGGTTTGGTTCCACGTGAATCCGTCAACATTTTGATTTTGAACCGAACCAAATCACTTTGAAGTGGTTTGGTTTAGATTTCAATATTTGCACATCGTTATAAATCGTTCAACCGTTTTTAAAAAAATAAAATAAAAAAATTTGAAATAGATTAGTCTAAATTTTATTTAATCCAATTAAACATAACACATTTTATTTAAAAAGATGCACTCATATTAGACATAATTCAATTAAACTCAATTTTGACAATTGCACATCTCAATTAATTAATTAAATCATAACTAAATACCCATTAGTCATCACAATCGTGAATGTAAAATCTTCAAATTGGGTAAAGTGTTGAATAATTGCTGCTAAACTATATTCGCCAATTTTTCATTACAATTGAGTAGACAATTAAATATAGATTTTAATTCAAACTTACACATTTCATTTCCTTCTACTAATAATTTTCTCAAATTTTGCCTGAATTCAAGTAAGATAATCCAGATTCTTTTATTTTTTTTGGTAATTATTTCTATGTTTTTATTGGTATTTATGTTGTTTTATTCTAAGGGTCCGTTTGATTGCAAAGATGAAATTGAATTACCTAGTAAACGAATTTCAGGGAATTGAATTGTCTATAATTGTTTTCCTGAAAATTGTAATTATTGTATTTGATCGGTATAATTTTTCACGTGAAAAATGTTGAAATGAAAGTGTTTTTTGGTATTCGTTTGACCCTGTTTTATATGAAAATTGTCAATTAAAGATATATAATTTATTGGTATTGGAGATAGAATTTGTTTCCATTGCCAAAAATAATAATAATAATAAAAATAAATAAATAAATAAGCTAAGAATTTCATCTATCTTTTGGAGTTTGTTTGGCTTCGTTTTACATGAAAATTGTCAATTAAACGAAAATATTTTTTTATAATTAGAGATAAAATTTGTTTTAATTGACAAAAAAAAATTAAAAAAAATACATATATACGCTATAGTACATGGTTTCCCTAAAAACCAAGAAAACTCCAAAATTCAAGAAAACCAAGAATTTGAATGTCATGGAAAAAAATGTATCAAACATTTAAAGTTGAAAAATTCAATTCCAATTCCATCCTATCAAACACACCCTAATAATTGTTGGGCTTCCTTAAAGTAATTCACTAATATTTGGATGGAGTAAAAGCACCGAATGATTCATAAAAAATCACAGCAGCTAAATATTATTGTATTAGAATTTTTTAATTCATTTTTTATTATTTATTTTATATCATTTAACACTAATAAATGAATTCATGTACTATATTTTTATAATTATGAAGAGAATGAAATGTGTATTATAATTGCACATTGACACCATTAATATCGACTATGAAATTAAAATTTTTATATTATGTTGTTGCATTATAATGATTATAACTATATAACTTTGATTTGTAATTTTTTAATATTACAATTTATATTTTAACGTGAAATTTTATGCTAATATTTATGATTTAACTTATTTGATATATATTTAGTCCCCCGTTTGGCCCTCATTCCCATTCCCATTTTCATTCTTTTTCTGTTTCTTATTTTTAATTACACAATCTTTTATAAAATAATATTACACGCAAATAAAAAACTTTTCATTCTTTTTTAATCACATATTTTTCAAAAAAAAAAAAAATTATTCTAACCATTAAAATTTGGCAAGAATGGGGGCCAAACGGGGGCTTAATTTTCTCATTATTAAATCGTGGTTTTAAACCGAACCAAACCCAAAAAAATGGTTTGGATTGGTTTGGTTTTAGAAATTGAAGTGGTATGGTTTGATTTAAAAAAATCTCAAATTCTTTAAATGATTTGGTCTGAAAATTTGTCTCAAACTGTCCAAACTGAACCGCATTTACCCCTATTATAGAATGGAAAAATTCTAGTCGAACTTCGTGTCTTGTGGTGCTTAGATGTACTTTTTAGAACACTATTGATGTGACGCCCCGAACTTAAGCTTCGAGTGTCACATACTAAACATAATAGATTCTGCCTTTAGTACATGTAAATACTCTTAAATAGAAGTATTACATGTTAGAAACTTATTTTCAATTTGGTAAAATATCTTTCATAAAATTTAAAGGCAGGTAGAAGTGCATGTCGACATGAAATTATACTTTACGTATACGGACTCGACACTGTCACGGTTAGTTGGGGCAGCAAGTTCGACTATTTTTATAAAATTCATCCCAACTTCGTTTTCTATGAAATTTATGACATTAGAAAGATATTTTCAAATAGTTTTCTAGGTTAAAATATGAAAAATTTCCAAGATCATATGATATGGGCGTTGTACTGAAAACAGTGAGGTATTGCACAGAAATTTCAGATTGACCCTTCAACGTTTGAAAGTTCATATCTCAGGCTATAGATATCCAAATTGAGTGATTCTAGTGCCCATATTAAGATAACTCAATGAGGAACACAGCAATATTTTCAGAGTCTCAAATGGACGTTTATGGAATCAGAAATAACGTTTTGAAGTTGACCCAAAAACTGTCCCATTTCTGCATTTTTATCACTTGCAAGGGAAAGTAAAAAAAAAAAAAAAAAGTCTCTTAACATAACATGATAGATATAATTACATAATTTACTTCCTGTACCATATTACATCATGTCTTATATATGTTTTTATATAATAACAAAAGCAAAACATATGGAAAGCAGTCAAACAAAACATACAAAGCAGAAACTTCGATGTAAAAATAATTTTGTCCTTGACCCATCATCGATTTTGCCGACTAACTTCCACCAACTTCACAATTATGAATCTGAAATTTAACATGGAATACTATGAGTATAAAGAATACTCAGTAACATACCATGCTCGGATTTAACATGTTAATACTACACAAAAGAATGTATTCAAACACATACTTGCATATTCCGGCTTGTCGGTGCCCTTCGGACTCGTCCTAAGGCATCCATGTCTTTCATATTATGGTTTTCATGCATAACTTAAGCATAAATATTACCATGAAATTCTACCACTTAAGCATAGAAAATATCTTACAATAAAATTTGAAGAAATTTTGGTTGAAAGATGAATTGAGAATGCTAGACTTTATCCTTTCTTTCTCACGTCAACTACCCTTTAAAACAAGTGATATTCTGATTTTTCTTGCAAAGGAAATAAATGGCAGCGACATTACTATTTATAGGTAAGAAGAAAAATGATTAATTAAGGTGATTCTTCAATCAATTCTACACGTGGGCAGCATGAAAGAAAATCTTAACTTCAATTAAACACCTACGCATGCCTTTAGCCCCCACATGCTTAAGTTAAAACACCTCATGCATGCCTTAGCCACTTCATGCTTAAATTTAAACAATTCATGCATTGCCTTAGCCACCCCACTCACGGCCAGGAGGAGAAAAAAAATGTTTACTTTGGTAATTAGGTGTAAAATGGACATTTATCCCAAACTCCTAATTAACAAATTATTTGGAAAACTTTTTAATAAATTAACCAATGCAAAATTTGGCAACCATAAATAATTTTGGCCATAATAAATTTTGAAAAGTTAAATTGCTATTCTAAAAATTAAATGAGCACAAAATTCGAAGTATTACAATTGCTTTTGCATTTTTTTTCTTTTTTTAGTGAAGTCTCGAGACAGGTTTGTAGTAATGCCTATGCTTGAACCGTGGCCTGTACTACTACAACAGTTGAAATCAAGTGAAAACCAATACTTCTCCGTTGCATTTTACTATAAAGTCAAGAAATGTGTCCTAGTGCATTTCACTGAAAACTTTTCTTTTTCAATCAGTGGCGAATCCACGATGAATGTTCAGTTATGACGGATGTTGACTTTGATTGTTGACCGTCGACAATCAACGATCGTAATAGCCAGGTCTTGCTTGCAGCAGGTCGTTTATTTAAATTTGATTAAATAATATTATTAATTATAAATAAATTCTACCTAATACCTACTAAATCCAAAATACATTAAGCAGGCAAGGCTACTCTCTCAAGTCTCAAGACTCTCAAGTCTCAACAAACAAGTGCAACAAATCAACAATTCAACATTCAAGTTTCAACAATTCAACAAAAAGAGATTCTGATTTCACTTTGCAATCGCAATTCACAAAAAACAGATAAGATAACAAAAGGATTTGAACCAAAAGAATTCAACAAAACAAAAACAATTCAACTATTCAAGACTTCCAAGTATGAAGAACAATGAACTCACCCTGAGTCCCCGAGGACCCCGACCCACGCTGCACAACGCTTCTTCTCCTTCGCAATTTGCACAATCTCGCACGGCACACCGCTGCTTGCACCGCTTGACTCCGACTCGCACTTCGCAATCGCAACCCACACGTTACTCAGTCAACCCACTTCACACTTTGAATGGAAATGTGGAAGGAAATTATGGGATGGAAATTATGGAATCAATAATGGAAAGAATTCAAGGGTTTGCTCTCTGCTTTCACCTAATTGACGGGATTTCATTTGGGGAAACTGATATGGGTATGGATTAATCATTAATGGACGATTTCATTGATTTGGGCCACTCTATTTGTTTTTTTTAAATGTCCAATAGCCCAAGTCATCACAATTCACACATGCAACCCAAATCATATCTTCTTCTTTCTTCCCTCCTTCCTTGGCGACTGCGACTGCGTCTGTTATCTCTGCAATATTTCTCTGCTCCTCTGTTCCAACGGTTCCAGAAATCCAGCTAGGGCGGCTTCATTTTGCTCTTCAACAATCCGATAGTTCCGGCAGATCCAACTAGTGCGGCCGCCCTTGCTCGCCACTAGCCAGATCCGCCCCTGTTTTCAATTCTAACTTGCTTGAGGTAAAGCCTTACGTCTCCGATCTCTCTCACTAGATATAGAGCTTCAAAATTAGTGAAAATTTCATATACAATTCTATAGAGCAATAGAAATGATTACTTTCTGTCAACTTTTCCACTATTACTCTAAAAAAGTCAAAACTTCAATTTTTTTTTTAATCGGTAAATGTAAATTTCTATAGATCAAAATTCATAAAGAAGTACTATGGGTATACCTGGGCTAAACAAGAACAAAATATGTATAAATGATAAGATATAAATGCCTAATGCTTGAGATTCCAAATGAATCAAAATATGAGGATACAATAAAACTTGACTTTGAATGCGCGTGTTTTGTTCCATCTCACTATGTTATCATGTGGCCTAAGATCATAAAAAATCTTCCTATTTCTCGACATCCAAACTTCACCTAGCATAAAGTTGCCAGAGTACAATTAACCTCTTTTAATCAAAGAATATTTAAATGATTTCCATGTTTGTATTTCAAAAGGAAAGGGATTCAGATAATTGGAAAACTTTTTCAATCTAATTCTTCTGAAATTTTCTACGTCAGTTAAGGATCCGTTTGATTGCAAAGATGGAATTAAATTGAATTGAACATGAATTCTAGGAAATTGAATTGCCTAAAAATTATTTTCCTGAGAATTTTAAGTTATTGTGTTTGATTGATATAATTTCCCACGTAAAAAATGTTGAAATAAAAATATTTTTTGGTGTTCGATTAACTTTGTTTTACATGAAAATTATCAATTAAACGGATAAAATTTATTGGTATTGAGGATAAAATTTGTTTTCATTGTAAAAATTAAAAAAATTCTATCTTTTGGTGTTCGTTTAGTTTTGTTTTACATGAAAATTGTCATTTAAAGGAAAATATTTTTTTACAATTAGGAATATAATTTATTTTCATTGACAAAAAAAATTAAATTAAAAAAAAAAGGAACCGGGAAAACAAATTCTCACCTAACCTATACTAATTAGAATTCCTTAAAAAGCTAGAAATCAGGCGCGTGAGGGGAGAGGTGGGAAAATCATTTCGACGGAAAAACTTTGCCGTCAAACATTGTTAAAGTTGGAAAGTGGAATTCTATTTCCATTTCCCATTGATTTTCCAAGCTATCAAACATGACATTAATGAATAATGAGGAAAATAGGACTTCTTTTTTTTTAATACATCGATGCAAGTCTTAGCCAAACCCCAATTATTAAGTAATTTTCAGTTTGAAAGGAAAGACATAAGATCAACACAAGCTGACAGTTGATCTACGAGATTGTACTATGAGTTTTTGTTGCAGCTTTCGGCATCACTATAACTCTTATATTAAACAGTACCAGCAGCTTGCCCAAGACTGTAACATGTTTTCTAACAACTAAAAATAGTAATTAATCGCCTATTTGCTTAAGTACTTTTGTGGTCCTTACAGTCAGGGCGTTTTCGGCGTTTTCGATGATGAACTTCAAAAAGAATCCAGCGAACTCCCGTTATTCTAATCGCTACTTTTGGTTACTCGGTTCCCCACGCGGGAGCATCTAGGAAGTGTAGAAAAGATCTATGTGACCCAATTTTCCTATGATTTCTTGATTAACATAAATGTAGACAAAAAATGGTTTGAGTGCTTATAATTGGTTTATAAACATGAGCCAAACATATAACAAGGTTATGTTTGTACAAAATCGGTACGTCAAAGTGCTCTCTATTTTCATTGGCGGATTTTGCTCTTAAGTTCTTATTTGAGTTAGAACACCATGATTTTCATCATTTTGGGGTTAATAATCTCAATGGTGAATCCATTATTCGATATCCTTGGGAAATTGACGCAATATGATTGAACGTACCAATTTTTGTTATCTTTAATGCATTTGTTTATTTTTATTTTATGTACTTAATTTTATTTTAGTTAGGGCTAATTAGGATCCCATTTGAGCCGTATTTTTTAAAAAAAAAAAAAAAAAAAAACATTCTTAGCCTTGTTTGAGCCACATTATTTGAAAAAAATGCATTATTCAACAGTGATTTGACATCATCTCAATCATACATTTTTCAATAAAATAATATTACACGAAAATCTAAAACTGTTTCTTATTTTTTAACCACACACTTCCTATTAATACAATATTCAAAAATGCATTTACATTCCAATAATGTGGCTCAAACAAGGGCTAACAGTGATTTGACATCATTTCAGTCACACATTCTTCAATGACATGATATTACATGCAAATTCAAAACTTTTCCTCATTTTTTAATCACACATCCTTCATCAATCTCTATTCAAAAATACATTCTTTCAAAATAATGTGGTTCAAACACACACTAGATCTTTTTGCTAGATTAGTGGTTTATTCTAAGTTTTTATTTGACTCTCATTGTATGTATCTTGTTTCTTGGTTGTTATTGAACAAAATAATAGACATTGGAGGCCTCCAATATTTTTATTGTCGTTATTTGTTATTTCAAGTCAATGAGTTCAAATTCTTAGAATTCGTGAGCCAATCTACAAGTAATCGATGCTTAGTTTTGTGGAATTATTAGGAATTTATAGAATCTAAAAGATGATCATGTCATAAAATTCGTTTAGAATCAACGAGGCTTTGATCACAGTTTGTCATTGTTTTGTAATTCCGTCTAAGTGATGATTTCTTTTAAGCAGATATTAGAACAAACGTCACTTATTTATAAAAATTGTACAAGAGAACAAATAAATACGACATGAAGGACATCTATGATTAATATAAATGGTCCAAATCATAAATTTCAGTGAAATCTGCCCTTTCTTTTACTTTATGAACATATAGTATGAAAAGTTTAACCCTTCTCGAGGAATTTAGTGGGGTATAAAGAAAAAGTTAAATTTGGAAGCCTTTTTTAGAACTCTGAACAATGAACATGCTAGAAAAGTGAGTTTACAGGAGATGAAGAGAATTTCATTTGAATTCTTTTTTCAACATTTTGCTCAATACTCGTATTCCCGTTTGATGGGTTAAAATCAGATTTTTAATAGATTTTGATAAAAATTGATGAAATGCGTGGTTGAAAAATTGTGAGACTCATAAAATATGTGGTTGAAATGAATTGTCGACTTTACCTTAAACTAAAATTTAAATTCTAGATTTTAATCGATATTCTAATGTGAACTTTCTCTTTATAAAATAGTCTTAAATGAAAAATACAATTTCTTTTCCTGATGTGACTCCAATATAGATAGAAGACATACGTGGTTATGTTTATCCAAGAATTTAGATATCAAGAATGAAATTTTGTGGGCTCTTTATGTTAAAATTTACCATAATCATATGACCATGAAAAAGGGCATTGATTTCTGTCCTTTTTTTTTTTAATATATATATTTCGATGGAAGTAATCAACATATTTACATTTTTAGTTGAGCAAATTCTACCTAATGAAAAATTCATGTGAATATCATCATGAATCACCTTGGTACGTAATATTGAACACAATGGATAGTTTATCTATTGTTGTTGAGTTCATCATAACCGAACAAATGATATAAAAAAGTAACATTTTCTTTTCTTTTCATTTTTTTTTTTNTTTTCTGTGTCAATTATATTGCTTTAGGAATTTTCAACAGTGTCTCTAAATATTTACATTTAGTTGATGGGTTGCAAAAATATAGCCAATGGCCACCAGACTCGACTATATATAAACAAAAATGGAAAAACTAGGCAAAAAAGTTGAATTGCAAAGTTTGTATGTCCTGCCCTGTATGAGCCAATGGGGAGCGCTATTGGGAGTTGTCGGTCCAAATAATTTTTGGCACGCTCGATAATGAGCCGGGCCACCTCAAAATCATCCGACATGGCTCGGTTTACACTTGTAGACTGAATTGTATTTCATTCGAATGTGCATAGCAGCCTCAAAACTGAAGCACCATGGTCTGATTTACACCTCTAGGCTAACAGTACCTCAAACTTAAAAAGAAATTGTCAGTTAATAACAAACATCAAAATATTACATTTTTTAAACTTATGTTATCATATGTACTATACATTTCTCTTTACATTTTATGTTCTCTATAAAGCAGATATATAGCTAGATTGAGCTGCATCCTATGTAAGTCTTGGAGGAATAGGGCTGTCTTGTTCTCACTTGACAGGAATCTTATCTAACAAAGACTTTGGGATAATGGATTCTCCTCTTTACAATCTGGGTTCTTTTTTAAATTGAAAGAACTTTGATTGCATTACTAGTACTAATTCCTGAATCTTGACCATTTGATCTAGATCAAGATTATTAAGTTCTGCTAGATACTGACCCAGGGGAAGGATTCAAACTCGACTGAAAGGATCTTCATTCGAGAGATTGAAACAGAAAAGTGGTTATGAGCGAGCTCGATTCTGGAAGGCCAAAGCCATGGAACATCCATGGCGGTTCGTCTCAAACAGAAGTTGGCAGAGAAAGTCAATGGAATAGCTTCACCACATCCATGAATGCCATTTCTTTTGGCTTTCTGGCTACAGCAATATTGATATCAATGTTTGTTATAATGGCTATATTCGAGCATCTGTTTAGGCCAAATTCTTTGTCTCGAGATGACTCTACTGCCCACTTGGAATCACCACAAATGCAGAAACTTGGAGATTCACAAACAGTAAGTCTCTCTTCTTCCCAGGTAGTCAGGTATTTTTCAATTTTCTCACAAGGGATGCGTGTGAAATTTTTATTCATTAAAATTTCATTATATGGAAAACAGGAATAAAGAACTTTATTATAAGAGACAGATTAACAAGTAACTAAATTGGAAAAATACTTCTACAGGTTCTAATAAGCACATAATATTTGTTGCAGGTCCAAACTACATCATATGCATCAGATTTCTCAGTAGTAATGCCAGGCCAGCAGTATCCCACCTTCATTGCACAACCTTCTCCTCTGCCTTGTCAAAGAGGAGGAGTTTATTGGCCCTCCCATCAAAATACATAGTTTTGACTTTTTTGTACACGTCTTTCTTCTTTTATCTTATGGGATCATTGTGTTTAGAGAAAAAATGAAATTTTATCGTGTATATCCCTTTAAGGGTTTTGCTACAAGTACACCAAGTTATGTATAGCCCCCCTCACAATAGGGGGAACACGATTTTTTAATGCGCGCGAGCTCTCCTTTGTGAGACACAGCTCGGTGTACAAATATCAAAAGCCATCTCTTTAATTTGGTCCAATTCACCGTGCCACACATGTACAAATGGGATTAGATTTCGTGGAAACGAAATGAGACTACTCATGATGCTATACGTGGAAATCTTATTTCTGAAAAAAGCAGGACACGAAATGTGGGGAAAGGATTAAAATAAAATGACGAATCTATTTTTATAAAATCAATTATTAGAAGAGAATCAATTAATTTCGAAGTTAGTCCGTATTTGGTTTAGCTAAAAAAATAAATAAAAATTTAAGTCAAAGAGAATAATAAATCTTGAACACACATTTTATGAGGCTCACAAACTTTCATCAATTTTCATCAAAATTCGATTAGCAAAATCAAACTAGGGCTAACAATTACCTTGTGTTGACACACAAAAAGTTCAGCCCAAATTGAATAACTCAAGGAATGAAACTCAATTAGAAGATCCCCAAAATCAAATAGCTCAAAGAACAACCCAGTCAGGCAATGCAGGATAAAGGCCCAAATAAGGAAGCCCATGAACGCGGAAATACCATCGCCCAAGGTTGCAAGTCGCCCAAAATTTGAGCGAATGAATTGCCATGCAGTCGCCCAGAGCTGTGACTCTGTTCTCGTCCAAACATTTGAATCGCCCAGCATCTTAGTAAATATAAGAAGTTATGGTTACCCAAAAGTGCAGTTAATGAAGTAGTTATTAGGTAGTCCTATCACGTTCCACGATTCAAGGAATTCAATTGAAGACGGTTGAACGACAAAAGTAATGGCAGCAGTTAGAGAAGGCAGTTCCATGACAAGTTGGCCACTACAAGGAAAGTGGGCAGTTATAGAGCGATCAAGCAGTTTTTTAAGCGGTTGATCACGAAAAAATCATCCAGGAAGTATAAAAGGAAGAAAAGACATAGAGCAGAGGACCCCGAATCGAACACTCTCAAACAGAGAATATGTAACTTTTAATTTTTTAGTTTAGATTTAAACACTTCTTTTACAGTAACTCGTGTGCTTGCGCCTCTTGGAGGCATTCTGTTTTTATTTTTCAATTGTAAAGTCATCGCCAATAAAAACACCCCTTTTTGGGATTTTGTCTCAAGAGGTTTGTTCCTTACACAATCGTCTGATCCCTTTTTAATTGTTAGCGACTAATCCGCACGAAACAATTTAGTACGCCCAGTGGGACAGTGGTGTCTGGTGTTGAAGATACAAAAGGTGAAACAATATGCCTCAGAGATATGACAAGGAAGCAGTAAGTCAGGAAGGAGTCTAGTCTGTGATCGAGCGATATGAGGAGCAGCATAGCTCTCCATAAACAGATGAACAGAATCAGAGTAGTAACAGTCGTTACAAATCAATGGCAGAGTTGAGTCCTCGAACTATGCATACACTATTTGGAGAACTCACACAAGATGTTGTTGAACAGGTAAATCTTCGAAATATTCATAATATGGAAAGATTTACCCAGAATGGGAATGCACATTATGACAACATGGCTAAACAACTGAATACTTTGAATGAAATAATGAATAAGTTAGTAGGCCAAATTTGTCAACCAGTTATGCCTCTTGCAAACCATTTTCAAATTAGGACAATTGTGGGACATAATCCCCCAGTCCTAAATCCAAGTCAAGGGGTGAAACCACATTTTGGTCCCTCTACTTCAAACCAAGGGGATGGTGTAATGCCAAATCAGAATAATGGTAGTGGTACGCCTAATTTGGGGGGTAATCCAAATGTAAGAGATAATGTCCTAAATAACGGGCAGAATACCCCACGCGTTAATGAGGGAATAAATGTTCAGGCTAATGGTAAAAATGGTCTAAATCATGGTAATTTTATTCTTAATCAAGGACCAAATATCAGGCCTCAAGCAAATCAACCGGTCAACCAACCTGTAGGGATTCCATATGACCCCAACGTCATGTTGAGGAATCAGATTATGGAAATCGTACAGGACCAGATGACTTTTGGGGTTCGTCCTGTCATTAGGCCGACCTATACAAAGTCATATCCTGATTGGATAGACCAAACATATCCATGGCCTAGAGGGTATAAAGTGTCAAAATTCTCACTCTTTACCGGTTTAGGGGAGGTGTCTACTCTAGAACACATAGGACGATTCACACTGCAAAGTGGTGACGTAACTGATTATCATAAAATGAGGCTTTTCCCTAGTTCATTAACAGAAGTAACTTTCTCTTGGTTCATCAATTTGCCAGCGAATTCTGTTCAAATATGGCAACAATTGGAACAACTATTCCACGCTCAGTTTTATAAGACTGAGTCTGAAGTTACTTTGACCGATTTGGTGAACCTACGTCAAATGCCAAACGAATGGGCAGAAAGTTTCCTCCAAAGGTTCAAGACAGCAAGAAGTAAATATTTTGTACTTCTGCCTGAAAAAGAGTTTGTAAAAATTGCTCAAGGTTGTTTGAGTTTTGATTTAAAAAAGAAATTCCAAGACAAGGAATTTCCTGACCTTTTCCAATTAAGCGCGAACGTGATTAGGTATGAACGATTGATAAGAGAAGAAGAGTAGATAAAAAATTCTAGCAGGGGACTTATTATAGAGACCCAAATTTTGATGTTCATACCATCAATAACGAGTCATACGATCAGACCGAAATGTGTTTGGCCGAATTAGTCAAAGGAGACACGTATGCTTTTCCTATAATGGCTAAGCCTAGACTATCAGGTAAGGATGAGCCTATGAAAGATGAAAACGTAAAAGCTAGGACGTTCTCATTCGATGTAACCAAAGCTGACCTTATATTTGATAAATTATATAAGGATAAGCAGATAAAGTTGAGTGATAAGCATAAATTGCCAAACCCTGAATAAATAAAGGGTAAAAAATATTGCAAGTGGCATAATGCATGGTCACATTTGACTAACAATTTCTTGATTTTTCGCCATGTGTTACAGGATGCCATTGAATCAGGACGAATTACGTTCGATGATAAGAAAAAAATGGCAGTGGATGAAAATCCTTTTCCACAGCCACTTGGAGTGAATATGGTGACGTCTGGTTTCAAAAATAAGTTACCAAAATTCAAATTGGTTATAGATGATGGAGAAGAAGATCCTGGACCACATCCCAGTGTCTTTGAGCGTATTAAAGGGAAGGAGCCAAAGAAGGATGAAGACGTCTTGTGTGCAAGATGTAAAAGAGAAGTGAGTGGAAATACGGAGAAACCAGGAATATGGCAGTATCCCCATCGCCCTACTCTCCTCCCAAACGCTCAGCCTGGTAGAGGGCGAGGCACATCGTTCTACAAGGGACCACCTTTTGAGAGGCAGTTCAGGCCAGTAGATAATGGAAGAATATTCAGGCCACAACCTCGCCGACCAAATGTATGACATTCGTTCCAGTATAATGCAGGAAAGACAATACCCTTCGACGAGATGACTAGAACCCAACAAAGGCGTTTCCAACGAAATTATGGACGAATGATGAGACAACAACAGGGAGTGCCACGTCCTAAGGCGCCTAACTTACTCAACGTAGCCAATCAAAATGTTCTCAAAGATAGTAAAGAGACTGGTACAGATGAATCAATGAAAGAGTTGCCAGAAACTTCTTCTGGGAGATTGAAGTTTGAGCGAGACAGAAAGAATGGAGAAGATCCAGATCAGCCCCTTACTATTCAGTTTGGTACGTTACCTCCTGTTGTGGCTAATAACTATTTACTAGCCAATGAGTTCAAGAATAAAGAGAAAGAAGAAGAAGAAAGAGAGGATAACGAAGGAGAAGCATGTGTGCTGGAATATGAAGAAGGCCAGACTTCTAGAGAGGCCTACAATGGTGAGGAAGATGATGGTATGACAGACATTGAAGAGAAAATTGATCTGGAAGCAGAAAGGAGAAGAAGAGGAGTATCGCACAATACTCTGTTGAAATAACTATATCGAGAGGTAGTTCATGAAGTAAATTTATTGGGAGAACCATCTGGGCGTTTTTTCGATTTTTACGTGCTGTACGGGACGCCCAAAAGAAAGAAGAGAGTGCCTCGTTCTGAAAAGTATGGATCGCCTCCAAGAATAATGCCTCCTCCCACAAGTTGGGTAATTGAAGAGGAAGCATCAGAAAACAGTAAAAAGGGAATTCAGGAGACAGAGGTTCAGTGCAATATGCTGCATGTTGACTTATCACAAAAGGATAACTCAACAGAGGACAAGCAGGAAGTAGAAATAGAGGCTGCCGAAAATGTTATTTTTAAACGGCCAGCCATGAAATTGACTAAACACTTGAGGTCGTTGTACGTTAAAGCTCTAGTTAACGGTATACTTGTGGCAAAAGTGCTTGTCGATAATAGAGTAGCTATAAACACCATTCCATCTAGGATGATGAGAAAATTTGCAAAGATAGAAGGGGATATGATTCCAACAGAAGTCATCCTTACAAGTTTCAATGGAGAAGCAACTACAGTTAAGGGAGTTATGCCATTGGACATAACTATAGGTACAACTACTAGGACCACAGTCTTCTTTGTAATAGATGGTCTTACTAGTTACAATGTCTTACTAGGAAGAGATTGGATACACGGAAGTCGCTGTATACCCTCGTCGCTCCATCAATGCTTGGTTTTTTGGAATAACAAGAGTGAAGCAGAGGTGGTGCAGGCCGATCATAGGCCTTTTGTCGCAGAAGCAAACTCAGTGGAAAAGTTCATGTACGAAGGAAACTATGGACCTGTCAGGGTAGTACAAGATGGGGAAGAAACTTAAATTATCGCGCAGACCGAAGAGCCATTTTCAGTGGACGCACTCACTGAAATGTTCAGACAGATGATGCCAAATATAATAGCCCTAGAAGAGCTAGTAATTGGCAAAAGAATAATTAAGGAGTCTTGAATGAGTTCTAAACAACAAGAGCAAATGGCCGATATTTAGGCCTTCAAAGACAAATTAATGGCTTTCAATAAAGAATGCAAAGACAAGGCGAAAGAAGAGGTAGCCCTGAAAATGCTAAAAGACAAATTAGCAGTATTCGAATTGGAACAAAGTATTGGATGAGAAGTCAACAAG